GCAATAAATTAATGATTTTATCCATAAACAATTTAAATAAAAATTATATTGTCTACGTTTTTATATATACCAAAATATTTAGGTTTCATTTGGGACGATTTTTTGTTACTTTTTAAAGCAATTTTTAAGTACAAAAAGTTTTACCTCAAAAGAATTTTATACTAAAAAATTACTTTAAAAAGCAGTAAGAAAGCTGCCTCAAATCAAGCCTTAATAATTCTTTAATCAGTGTTGAAAAATTAATTAGATCAAATAATTGAGAAAGAGTTTACTTAAATGGAAAAGCAAGCTTGAGATATGGATTTGCCCTTTTAATTAAGCTTGCCCACTTGTCGGCTTACATTGGATGAACAGGAAACTTCTTTGTTAGCCGACACGCAACTCCGACTTATTTCAAGACAGAGCAAAATTTAAATGAACTATAAGAGGATAAACACATGGGGTGGGGTACCTCGATTAGGACAAATATAAATAATGTTTTTAGGGGTTTTAAAATGCAAAAATGTGAAGCATGTTAAAATTGTGAAGCATGATAAAAATAATGAGAGATGGGATAATGTTTGTGGGGAAGCATTGGTTAGGGCGGGGGAGACGGTGCATTAATTATTCTATGCGGATGACGAATGTCGTTCAGAGACCAACCAGAAAGCATCACATCACTCCTTTGCTCAGTAATGCTCGGTACCACTCATTATCACTGATACATCATCACAAAATTAGCTTGATCAGGCACGAATCCCGAGGCAAAAACTAGTTGGAGACTTCAAAAATTAAATCCGGGAGCATCCGAACTCCGTCGGACGTAGCTCTACGTTCGGTCACCACTGAGTTACTCGGTATTGCTAGGTATTGCTTGGCAATAACGAGAAATATCGCTCTGTGAAGACCAATACCGAGTAATACCGAGCAATACCGAGTTGTTCTAAAAAAACTCGGTATTGCTCGGTATTTGTCTTCACATAATGGTATTTCTCGTTATTACCGAGCAAAATTGACAAATGCGTGGTTTTGTGCATGCTACGTGGCGCGATCTCAGTGCCGGCCGAACGTAGCTCTACGTCCGGTCACCGGACCAAATAAAAGTTCCATTATCACGGCTCAGTACAACTGACGTGGCTGCATCTAATTCGCCTCCGGACGTAGAGTTGCGTCCGGCCTCCGCACAGAATAATTTATGGAGATGGTGAGGATGATTGTACAGGACAAGAGTTCGATGGGACAATACTATTTTGAAAGAAAAATTTTATACCCGAATTTCATGATGAAAATTGAAGTCATACGATTTATTTTGAGGTGAGTATATTATAAATTATTTATATTTTATACTTATTTTGAAGGAGATTTAAAGATTTTAAAATCTATTATATCATTTGTGAATCTGTTTGATGAAATTGTAGTTGCGACTCTCATCAACTTCTTTTTTAGAAGAATTTTGAGTTTCTTCGCCTTTAGTTAAACAATTTATTTTAGCTCTTTTGAGAAATCCTTTTGAGAAATCCAAACACTTTTAGAATTGTTGGCATATATGGAGAGTTCCTGATCTTTCTTGGTCGCACTAATTATTGTAGGTTGGGAGGATTACTCTCTAGAAGAAGGGTTGGCGAGGGCCTTAAACCTAGGAGGAGAGCTAAGCCTAATATCTTTAGGTTTTTACTAATAGGCAAGTGCATTCGTTTATGTATTTGGATCATTAAGATTAACAAGAATGAATAGGATTAGTATAGGTTTAGGAGAGATTAATCTAAACAAAGATGATAAAAAGATATAAGGCAAGTATCAAGCATGTATAAAGGGAAATCAAGGAACTAAATTTATAAAGAAATATTTGTGTGTACTTGCATATGCCTTTTAAGATATCAAGCAGGTAGTTGGAGGAAGGTGTGCAAATGAAGTGAGCGTTCAACAAGGTACTCAAGGCTAAGCTCGATTATAGTTTGTTCATGATCGTTTGATTAAGTAATCAAACAAGCTAGATTTTTTTTTTTAAATACTCGATAATTAAATAAACAAACTTGAATAATTATTTTCGGTTCGTTTATGTTAATGAACTGCATCGTTTAAAAAAATCATAAACATGCTCGATAAAAAGCTTGTTAGGAAGCTCACTAATAAGCTTGATTCTTCTTGGATACGGAGCTCGTGAGAAAAATCGCTTAATGTTCGATATAAATAGTAATTATTCTCATTAAAAATGATGAACAATCTAATATAAATATTTATATTTATTATAAATTAAAAAAATATAGTAATTATAGATTAATAAACTAAAAATTAAATTAAAAAGTCTAATATATAAATGAAAATAAATCATAAGTATCAATTAATTGATATTATGGTATTATATATAATTTAATTCATAATATTATTATATATTTATACATGTATACCTCATTAGTCTACTCATACTGTTGTTTGCTCGCTAGTCACCATAGTCGCACTTACGCCATACTCATAAGCAAGAATGAATAGGAAAACACCAAACCCTAGTCATTCACTCATTTGTCTTTCTCCATTACATCGCTCAAGTCCCGTTGAACCCTCGTCTTTCTCCCCTTGCCGCTCGGCATGCTCATGAGCCCTCCTCTTTCACCTCTATGCCACTCCTAAGGCCCTGTCGCCCGTCCTGAGACCATGTTGGCCAAAAATGAAACCTTTGCTAAGAACCTTCGCAGTTGTTCATGGAAAAAAAAAAAGATATTTTTTCATGTTTTCTGGATTATTTGTTTAAAATGTTCATGAACAAGCTTTCTTATAAGAAGAATTATAGCTCGTTTGTTTTTGAACAAGCTTGTTTAGTAGCTCGAAAACACTTGTTATATATGTTCGCAAACAAGCTCATTTAATAGCTAAAAAACACTTGCTAAATATGTTCTTGAACAAGCTCATTTGGTAGTTTAAAAACAATCGTCACATATATTCGCGAACATACTCAAGGTAATTGTTTGTTAGTAGACTCGATAAAACTTATTTGTTAAGCTAATAAATATTTAGAAGTTGTCATTAATAGCTTGATAAGATAAATTTTTTTAAAGCTGGATAAGCACAAAACAAATTGAACATGAACATAACATGAACATCCATCAATTAAAACGAACCAAATTGAATGCGAATAGAAAAGCTTGAACCGAGCTTGAACAAACATGAACAAACACATAATAAATAAACTCAAACATGAACAAGCACTTGCTTCGTTTGGCTCGGTTCATATGCAGCCCCAGTTGCTAGGTCAACGCAAAAAAACTCGCAACTGGCGGACTCCGTGAGGGGCTCGCCCAAAGGTCTCTAGAGCCTACTCGCTTGGAAGCACAGGGAGAAATCGTCCCCCACAAAAGCAACCAAAGGTGCTTGCAGACTATGTAACTCGCCACTACCTCATCAAGGGATGTTGGTTATCAAAGCCACCTGCCCTTATCTAAGGAGGGCACATTCATTCATGCTCATCAATATCAACTATAGGAAAGCACCTACACACATGGCTGTCAGCTTGCCCCACAACGAACACTTGGCCACAAAACTCATCCTCCTTGCAGCAACAACTTACTCGCTCTCCTTTCCTAAGGAAATTCCATGTTCCAAGGTAGGTTGTCAACAACTCCAAGGCACACATTAATCACTCGTCAGTACTTACTCGACACTACTGAACTCGCCCAGAGATAGATCGTCAAGGCTATATAGCACCATTAACCTCCAAGCCAATCAAAGAGTGGCACGTGCCATTGACAATCCACATTGGGAGTCAATAAAACATTGTATTATTTATTTGTTTCCTTAGTGGCCTCACATTCCTTTAAGGCATGAAGCGAAGCACTTGGAATGTTTTAGCTCTTAAAAAGTGTTTTTTTTTCTAACACTTGATCATTTGTAGTAAATGTACTACAGATCTTTAATAGTGAATTGTTATCTCCATTCTCACACAAATTTTCAGATCACCTTCTTATAGTTTAGCCTACCAATAAATTTGAGTATCATCCATAGAAAAATTTTAAATCCAACAATTTGAAAACTCTTATTTGATACATTTGAAATCTCAAACATATTTTCTCAAGATAAAAAATTTGCCCAAAAAACTATAGAACCTCATTCTAGACAAAGTCATAGTTCTCTCCACACAAGAGAACATAAATAACAAGAAGCCATAAAATAATACCATCAACCTTCTGCTGTCTCGCAAGAAAACTGACCCAAATAAAATCTTAGGTTTCTTTTTGTGATAATTTTCTTATTATTTTCTAAAACATAGTACAAAAATTTCTTAAACTCTAAAAAATAATAAACAAACTATTTCAAATAAAATCTTAATCAGTTGCAAATAGATTCTTGGAAAAATATGACCACTTTCTCAAAATTTCTGTAATAATTGGAAAAAAAAAATACCTGATTACATAAAAATAAAGCTGAAAATGAGTTGAGATGCATTGAGCATTTGTCATTACAAAAACATCATATAGAAACGTGTTTAAAAAAGAAAAAAATAGTATAAATTTTCTGAGACAGTTAAAAGAGTTTTGTTATATTATAGATTTTTCCCCTCATAAAAATAGATGGACAAATTTTTTATATAAAATTCTTTTCTCGACATAAATTTCTAAAAAATAGCATGACATTTCAGCCTATAAAATAAAATAGTAAGAAAATTATATCAAACAGACCTTTAGATCAGAGAAAAAGCTATTTTCTTTCTTTCAATCCTTGCCATAGTCAAATTTACTTTCTAGAATTATTTGATAATAAATAAATGAATGCCTATATTAACAACCCTATATATAGCAAAAACGATTAAGCGAACTAAGCTCAACTAGAAAGTTCTCAACCAGCAACAGAAGGAGAATTTTGAAGACAAAGGCTTTGTTCGAGACGGCTTTCTTAATGTTTCTTAAAACAACTTTTTAGTACAAAATTTTCATACTAAAAAGCTGCTTTAAGAAGCCGTAAAAAAGCCATCCCAAAGAAAGCCAAAGACTTGGCCCGAACATTATCAAACATGACTAGACACAACACGATTGAACATAACTTTCTAATTGATCAAACATGACTAATAACAACACATATGAAGAACATAACCTTGTAACTACTACTTCATCAAATTTGTTCATATGTATCATATTAAATCTTACTCTAATGCAACTGCAAGAACTAAACAGTTAAAAAGAGTTTTTTTCTTTTTCTTTTGTACCATGATTATCAAAACCTGCAAACCTGCGAGTGGAACTTCTCAACGTCAATAACGGGGATCGTCATCATAGAACGAACTGTTGCCACTTCTCCAGAACTTGGACTCTCTATCATCTTCAAATACTGTGCGGTTGTTGTATCTTGATTTCGATGACTTCTCTGCCTGCAAGATCATATCAAATCACTTAGAGAGAATTCTTTATCTGATGAAAATTGAAATATTGAAAAAATGCTCAATTTCTGGAATATGAAGAATGAATAAATAGCTTTTGATTCAGGAGGTTTATTTTCATGAAGGAAGACAACGGAGAAGTGATGAATAACAAAATGGTATAACGAGTATTTCAAAAACTTGGCCTTCAGAAACTTGCTGTAAGCGGAACCAGAATACAGTATGGTTCATAGACAGGTACGTATGGTTTGGTAACAGATTAATTGGGATTTTTTCTTGGTTGTACTATTTATACATAATTTACTCTCTTTTAGAAAGCTGCTTTAAGAAAGCCGCCCCAAACGAAGCCGAAGCCTTAGGGTTCATTTGGGATGGTTTTTTTATTGCTTCTTAAAACATAGTTTTAGTATAAAAATTTCCATCAAATGAAGCCTTAGACTTCGTTTGGGACGGCTTTCTTTATGCTTCTTAAATCAACTTTCTAGTACATAAATTATAATTTTTGATAAAAAACTGCTTTAAGAAGCAGAAAAAAAAAACCGTCCCAAACAAAATCTTAGTCATACTTCTGAAAGTCCAAAAATTTTCACATATGCTGAAAGAGTTCAGCTTTTAAGTGATTTTGTAAATATATCAGCCCTATTATCTTCATATGAAAAAGTTACAAGTTCTTTTGCTATAATATGTTCTAAGATAAATGTAAACGGGTATTGGTGACATATTGTTGACCTTCTTTTATAGCTTAAGATATTGAGATAAATTTCGTAGCCATATAGTATGACAAACTCAACAAGCTGTAGCAACAGGTTCTGCTTCACAGGTTGATAGTCGAAGAGTAAGTAAAAGTTGCATTATCAAGATAGAAACATGAACAAAGTAGTACTCTTGTGATCATCGTTATTTCTGACTCAATCACCATCGTGGAATCCAACAAGCTTCTCATCATTCTTGTTTGACAAAAATGGAGAGAATTAGTTGAGTTTCTCATTTCAATGTTTTTTTAATATTTATATTATCCTAGAAGAGCTTTTAATAGGAAACACATAAAATTAGAGAAAAATAATTACAATAATCCATATAGATAGATGAGTAGGCAAAATAATAATTACAATAATTCATAAATTGATGGGGTGGTAATGCTAATCCCATACATCACTAAGCTGAATGAGCAAGCTAAAGGAATGAGATCAAATGTTGGATTACCTGAAATTTTTTGGGCTGATGTAATAAATATAATGTTAGGCCGGTTCCTCCTGAACCGGCCCACTCAGGGCCGGTTTTGTTTATAGGAGGCAAGCTAGTACCGCCTCCTCTCACATTAGTGCGTCCCACTATTCAAATTGAATCTAAAGAGGGAAAGGAGAAGGCGGCGAGGGCTTTGGGAGGGAGTTTTGATTTAGAAAGTTTATGTAATAAATAGGAGGAGGTGTTTTAGGGTTAGGGCATGCTTTGATTTGTTTTATCTTGGAGTTCTTTGGTGTCTTGGGCTCTAGATTCCTTGTCTAGAGATTGGGAGAAAACGATCCTCCTCTCGAATTGAGGATCGCTTGTATCTTGCTCTGTGTTTGTTTGGCTTTGATTCCCTTATTGAAATTCATCATTTTTGGGGCTGATTTCACCCAGATTTTTGCATTATTCTCGCTGTTTTCACCAATTAGTGATAGGTTTGCTTGTGAAATCAAGTATTTCCCTTAGGATTACTTGCCAACTCAAGTATTTCCTATCATATAACAGCCTACCTGATGAAGTGAGGATCATCTGTTTCCTAAGATGGCAAGTAACTAAAAGAAGCTTGGATAGATAAAGAGGTAAATCTGTCAACCCTAAAAATATTCAATTGTATTTCACATATGCACTTAGATTCTATTAGTACAGATAAACTGAATTTCAAATCTAACAAGTTTTAAGACGGTAATATGAAGAAAGTAGACAATGCAAACCCGACATTACTAAAAATTGTGCAAAAAGATTCGTGGCAATAGCTAACACATCAAATGACATAAATAAATAAATAGAAACAAATTAAAAATCTGACCTCAAATAATAAGGATAAAGCTAAAAAATGATGACGATGCCAATTTCACATGGAAGCTTTGTTTCATGTTGAAACTAAAAATAGCGCAAACAACCAAACAAATAGAGAAAATATGAAGCAGATGTGCGTTCAGTCTCGTTTCTCTAGAAAGACAACTAATGGCACACAACTAAAACATGATGGAGAGCAGAAATATATATTAACTGATAGTATAATCTGAAGCACAACATTATACCTTGCTTATAAGCTTCTCAAATTCTTCAGGCCCATTTGCTTCGATGTATCTCTCTGCAGCAGATAAAATATCATCTGATCTACCAACTACATCATTTTTTCGGGGAACATACCATATATTTACTATCTGTTGATTCACAAATATGGGCCTCACGTAGTGCTCGTACACATAAGCAGCACCACTGAAGTATGGCAAGACCAACCAGCAGGTAAAGATCAACTTAGCATAAGGCCAAATGGGAAGCCTGCAACATATGTCAGTAATGTATCAGAAAGAAATATAATTACTTAATATAGACAAATGCCCTCAAGTACTTTGTATAATATACCAATCTCTTTCTGATTACAGTTAAACAATGATAAAGAATGGTTCTCAATAAGGGATGAATTCTTAACACAAATAATATGAGAAAAGAAAATCATGGAATATCATCCCTGGACCTGAATGGAAACGGACCCACACAAAAGATGCACGCTGTGTTTTCATGGAGCACAATGGATTTTGGTTAACATATGCAATAATTCTATGCTTAGTACTGCAAGCTGCTAATAATTATAATTTTCTTTAATGCCCGAGTGCAGTATCCAAATAACATAGTTTTTTAATTATAATTTTATAAAACATGCATTTAACTCTCATATGATATTATTTCATAGAATTCTTGAGGTAAGTCTCCATTGCAACAGCTCATCCTTCATTTTTAAAATCATTTTTTTTATATTTACCTCCGTTCTTTAGAATTTGACTCTTAATATGACACAATGGAGAAAAAAGATTAATGTAGCCGACCCCACATAATGAGATAAAGTCATGATATTGTTGTTATTGTTGTTGCCCCCAATCTTAAATAAAATGGGCTTAAGATATCTAAACTGATTACATCTAAGTATCACTTGATCTTCTACTAGCACTGCCTAACAATTACATATTTCATACACATCGAAATTGTGTATGGTAACATCTCATCTCAACATTCATCCTAGCTTTCCATGTGTCACCTCACATGAGTACCAGTTGATGCATTCGTTCAACTAGCATAACCATGCTTTGATCCTAGTATGATTGAATTGAGGATCTCGCTGCACATTCTCATCACAATCGAATGCCTCACAAGCTCAGACCCATCCACTTATCCCATCTAATATCAATTCAATGGGATCAAGATCAACCGACCAGCCTTCGCCTGCCATCTAGACAAATTTGCGTATTGCTTACCAAAGGCCTCACCTTCCTCACTTAAAACAATGTCAGGCTCAGCCAACCCTTTTAAGACCCATGTGATTTCACATCCCCATCTATCCTGACATGGTAAACACTTGACAACCTCTAACACAAGCCGATATCAAGCTGACAACCTTCCAGTATTGTTTGTTGCATGTCACTTCATTCCCATCTTGACCTCCCCTACTATCTAATTCCTCAAGATCACGCCACCCCATGTCTGCCTTTCCAAGCTGATGTAGAACGGGTAGGAAGATTTCATGTGCCGGAGCTTCCGGCAGCAAGTAACGCCTTTTGGAAAGCTAGACAACAAGGATCTTGGCTGGAATTTTCTGGCCAGCAAGGGAAAAGCTGTCTAGTAAGCAGGACAGTGAGTATTCCTGCTGAAATTTGAGGACAGCAGAGAAAAATTTGCCTTCAGGAATTCTGGACAGCAAATTCAAACTTCCCACGGTGCAGGATAGCAAGCTTAATGTTGGAGAAAAACTCTAACAGCTTTAGAAATCTTGGACAGCAGTTTGGAGGCCTTCTTGGGCCACTTCCTTGCTGGTTTTGGCTTTCCTGGAGGCAAGGAAATTAGCTGAAACTTGTGGAAAGATTTCAAAGCCCAGCAATGAGGAGATTTAGAGAGTTTGAAATATTTCCAAAAGAAAGAATGAACTTAAGGCAATATTTCTAATTCCAGATTCTCACGTGGAGGGATAGGGAATTAATTATTGCATTAATTCCCTAGGGAGAGGTTTTAATTTGAGAAAGAAATCAAGAGGTGGGGCATGAGGGGGTTTCGGCCAAGCAAGAACCAAGGAGCAATTAATGTGGAAATTTAAGGCTCATTGATTTAGGAACTTTCAAAATCTGAATTTAATTTCAGTTTTGATTAAAATTGGGGGGAACTTACTTTGAAATTTGATTTCAAATTAAGAGGCCATTAATGCTTTAATTGGGGAATTAATGGAGGAAAACCCCATGGTGACTAGCGGCATGTAGAGAGAGAGGGAGGGGATTTGGGCAAGGTTTGGGGAGTTTCCAAAGAAGAAAAATGTATTAGGAATGTTATGACTAAATCCAAACTCTTTGAATTTAAATTTGAATCATGCATAACACTTTCCTAAATAAGAATTTCTAAATTTGGAAAGAATTGAAATTCAAAATTTGAATTTCAAATTTGAATCAAATCCTTTCTAATTTCTCGTAGGGTGAATTATGGAAAGTCATGAAGATATTGAGATTACCGTCATGGGGGAAAAAAATGGGGTTTCGGGTGAGGCTAGAATCCGGCGGCCAAACGAAGATGGGGAGGAGGAAGAAGATGACGATAACGACGAAGAGCAATAAGAAGGAACAAAGCAAATAAACAAAATATCAAAGATACAACCGCGAGCCCGGACACATCCTGCGGCTGACGGGTACTACGTTGCCCTTCTCCAAGGGACTTCACGCCACGAGCCCGGACCCATCCTGCGGCTGGTGGAAACTTCGACTCCCTCCCATAGGGATTTCACTAACGTTCTTCCCAAAGAACCCAAGTGCAAAACACAAAATTTTTTTTATTAATCATCCATCATCCAAATACAAGAGAAGAGACCTCTATATATAGGCCTCAAGAGAAATTAAAAGACACATTCGCCCCTTGGGCTTACATAAGACAAGAGGGTAAAAAGGGAAATTGCAAAACTAAATTAAAATACACTTAATAAACGAAAATAAAACAAAGTGATATCGGTCGTCGATCTTCAGCTCCTCCCGGATTAGAATGGACGGTTGGATGTCCGCATCACAAGAATCCCAAGAACTATTATTGTTGCAACTTCTTCCCATCCGCCTACCCTCCTTGATGGAAGGTTTCAATCTTGAAAAGGTTCACATGCCTTTCAATTCTTACTAAATCAAGCTACAATTCAATTAGTTAATAAAATCTTTATACGAGGAAATCACCTTTTAAAATATGCTTTAACAAAGAATATGTCGTCCACTATGATTGACTTAATTTAGAAGGCGTTGAAATACCTAAATGCATAATAGATCCTAACTCTCCCCTCTGTATTCCCTCTCTTTATAGAGAATACTCAAAAGGAGGAGAGTCGATCAAACAATTGATCAAGACATGTTGATTGTCTTCATCAATGATGAATAGAACACAACCAATGTTGGAATCTAACATTACAAACATGATCAGTACAACCATCGTTATTTCACATTCGCTTAGTTGCAACCTACACCACCCCAACATTGCCCGATCTCCATGATCCTAGCAACCATTCAAAACAAGAACTGCTTACATTAATTGCTCAACTTAAGCAAGGCAACAAGTGCAATAGAAAGTCCTATCTCCACCATGACAATCATATTAAGGACACTAATGAGCGTCGATCCCTTAAGGCTCTTATTGAGAAATTTATCAATAATGAGAGACATTTAAGAGTGTTCCTCACAAACCACCAACAACACTTGTAGTACATTGCCGATAATAACCATAATGCACCATCGATACGCCTAGACATAGCAGGGCCTGTATAGTTGGCCAATCCAATAACATCATTAGGGGGAGCTACACTTGAAGCTACCAGCCAAAGAAGCCTGTGCATCCTCAATTACCATAAGGTAAATATTGCTTTCTCACCCCCTCTTATTGTCACTTTTTTCAAATGAGTCATGTTTGCTCAAGAAAAATGGCGTGTAGTCATGAATTCTGCTTTACAGACATAGGATTTCATTTTCCTTAAGTCAGATGGTATTTGATTTGGGTCTTAAGACTACCATTGAAAGTTGCCCAAAGGTTTTATAAGTGGTTCTTACGGCTTTTATTAGAAGTAGCCCAAATAGCAAGTCTTATAACTTCCTTTGGAAGACGCTTGGCTATTTTGGTAGGTCTTACGGCTTCTGCATTTAAAAGTGATCTAAAAGCGAGACTTACAACCTAACCCTATAAGCTAAGCGGCCCGTGTGCTTTGTTTAGATAGGTCTTACGGCTTTCTTTAGAAGTTGTCTGAAGGCGGGTCTTACAACCTAACGCTATAAGCTAAGCAGCCCGATTTATTTTGGTTTTAAGGTAGGTCTTACGGCTTCATTTAGAATTTGCCTGAAGGTTCATTTAGATATGTCTTACGAATTTCATTGAAAGTTGTCTGTAGTTTTTGTTTGGGTTTTAGGGTTGTTGTACTTCACTTAGAAGTTTTTCTAACATGTGGGTTTTACTTCTTCACTTAGAAGTGGCTCATAGGTGGGTCTTACAACCTAGCCATATAGGCTAAGCTGTTCGATGGTTTTGTTTAGAAAAGTGGGTTCTACCGCTTCATTAAGAAGTGACCCATTTGTGGGTCTTACAAAGCCCTATAGGCTAAGCTTCCCATTTGATTTGGTATGGATAGATCTTACGACTTCCTTTAGAAGTTATCTATAGATGGATCTTACAACCTAACGTTATAGCAAGGCTGCCCGTTGTTTGGTTTGGATGGATCTTACGACTTCCCTTTGAAGTTGTATGTAGTTTCTATGTCTTAGAACAGACTTTGACAGTAGTTACTCAGTCTGCCCTTGTTTATTGCCTTCACACTAGTGTTTCTACTTTAGTGTTAGTGTTTTCTTCTTTTCAGAAATTTTTTTAAGTACCGTAGTCTTGCTACAGCACCCTGCTAGTTTTTTCTTGTATTGTAAGTTAGTTTAAATTACTTGTTCTGTATCTTTTCTGCACTGTAGTTTACAATACTGATTAGTTTTGTTTTTTGCTTGCAGCTACTTGGAGCTTTGCATCTGCAGAAACTTGCTCGGAGCATTGGAGAGCTTGCACAGGAGTTTTGGGGTTTGTTATTGTTTTGTTTGTTTGTAAAGTCTGAGTCTGTGTGGAGTTTGGAGGGTTTGTGTCTATATGGAACGGTGGTCAACACAATAGCCTAAAAAGTCTTTCCACGATCAAGGCCATCATCCATCACTAAAAAGTCATACACATCCTAATCGACATCAAAAGCTCAATCTCTGTAATATTTTTCCATCTTACCGAAAAGCTCAACCTTGGAGTCAAGTATTTTAGGACTCATGAAGAGCTTCAATCAGATTCTCCAACGAAAGATGGCTCACAAAGGGTGCAATCAACCTCAAAGTGATGCAGGACTACGTATGAATGCTATCAATTAATTAAGGAGTTGCACAACTCTTGATTAGAATAACAGTGAAATAACCATTAGCATTTTAAAACAATGAATAAAACAAGAAAGGGATCACACCCGCTTAGACTAAATCACATATCCAGAGATTTGAAAAACTTTCAAAGAACTTTAGTAAATCACTTGATGCCGAAATAGTAGTATCAATACAATCCCTAATCTAACAATGAAAATTAATAAGCATAAAGGTGCACTCAAACCCTACGTTTACTAAGCTTAGCATGAGCAGTAGGAGTCGTCCTTCGTGACTACAATCAAATGCAAGAGAGAGTTGGATTCAAGAATGGTATTGAAAGGGGAGAAGAGAACCTCTCATCAAGAAGCAGTGGAGATCCTCCTCTCGACGCCTTCAAAATGCTCGTCGATTGCTTCCACTAGGGTGTCCAGAATGCGCTCTAGGTAGTCTTCGACGGTGTGATCGATCCTTGTATTAACGTCAAAGAAGGTTGATTGAAGAATATCGGTGAAGCCGTCCTCGTCCCAGGTTAAGCCGTATTCAGTTTCGGGATCCGCCATTCATGGGAGCTAGGGAACATATCTCCTCTCGTCTTGCTAGTGTTCTTGGGTATTGCCAAAGAGAAAGAAGTTTCTCTTGCAAGTGGAGGAGGAGAGCCAAGAGATAATCTGAAATAAGTTTCAGATTTTGATGATGGGTGGAGAGTTAATGAGAGAGAGAGGGATTTCGGGTGGGGAGAGGGGAGGCCGGTGGCACTAAGGGGATGGGGAGGGATTTCTTTCCAAATTCTTGAATCAAGATTTGGAAAGTAAATATGAGGTGGAGTTTGAAATTCTCGGCCAAGGAGGGGAGCAATTATGGGTTTGAAATTATTTCCTATGTGGGGAGTTGGGATTAGGAAGTAATTTGAAAAGGATTTAATGAGGGAGGGCAAGGGGGGCCGGCGGCATGCATAGGCAAGGGGGCATTTAATGAGAGCAATTAAGGTCTCTTAATTTAGGTTTTGGATTTAGGAAAGATTTATTTTAAATCCAATTGAATTTGAATTTTGAATTAGATCCAAAATAAATACTTTACTAAAATAGATGAATTATTTTAGAAAGGATTTTGAATTCAAAACTCAAAGGAATTGAAATTCAAAATTATCCTAAATTAACTCACAACCCAATTAGGAAACTCAAGAGTGAAAAGGGGGCTTGGGTGAGGCCGGCGGTTAGGGGCCTAGGGCCGGCGGTATGGAAGGGAAAATTGCGGGTAGGGGCCGACAGCTAATGGGAGGGGAAAATTCGTGGAGTTAGGTTATGAGGAGGTGATGGTTTGGAGGAAGAAGAGGTGGGATGCAAGGTTGATCGATACTGGAGGTGGAAGGAAAACGACAAAGGATAAATACGAAAACCACGAACCTGGCCGTCTCCAAGGTTGGTGGGTGATCCGCTCTCCCTCTCCTAGGGATCTCTCCAAGACTCTCAAACACAAGAGTGGGAAAATTTTTCTCATAATCATTCATTAACTCAGAAAATAGAACAGTGGGCTATAAATAGCCTAATACAAGAGACTCAAGAAATAAAAGACTAAAATACCATCAGGGCTTACATACGACACTCCTTCACTTAGAAGGGTACAACGGGAAATAAAGGACATAAAATAAAACAAACAAACTACGCGACATGGAAATAAAACAATACATGACATAATCAGAAATACAATGAATCGATCATGGCCGTAGATCGGCGACCACGTCTCTGGTAAACCTTTCATGATCTGATGTCCCCATCACAAAGTCGGTCAATGAATATAAATTCATTATGAGGGCATCAACTCCATAATATTGACCTTCATATTGACCATCATCTTCTGCTTAGTCGAAAAAACTCTTTTTTTCTCACTTTCAACTTCGAAAGGGGCTTCTAACTCCATAATCCTCAACTTTGGTGTTGTTTGATCTTTTAAACACAACACTCAATTCTAGATTCCTCATGATGTCAACAACTTTGACACTTTCACTTGGTAGCCGACAAAATGGAAGAAGCTCTTGGCACATAGCTTGAATACATCAAAATGTGACATCCACCCAAATTCGACACAAATAAGTATTGGGTTTGCCAACCCTTCACCAAATTGTGCAGCTCTTCAATGTGGAACATTGTCGGATGTCAAGGAGTAAAGAGCCTGGGCCATCCATCTCCTTCATCTTAAATAGGTTCATAAACTTTAGCAACGACCAAAGGATTCTATTGTCAGTAAAAAAAATTTATAACTCCTTGAAAATTTTCCTCTAAACTTTCTCTTTGCTCGATAATGATAGGGAATCAACCTCTTATAAAGTGTAACTTCTTTACTCATAGTAAGAGCTCCTCCCCAAACTCCTACAACGGTCATATCATTTAAATAAACCACCCTAAAACTATGTTATTTCTGTTGTATTTTCCACTATGTTCTCCCCCCTTCATAAAGAAAAACAACCAAGATTGTCAACTTTCATATTCTAAACAAATATGCATTCATCATGTGTCCAAATTTGGATGCCCTTATATCATATACTTGATCTTAAATCAGCTAATCCAAATCCCCTTATCTTGTAAACATCTCCACTATTCTAAAATTTCGCTTGTATTAGAAGAGGTCTCACAAACCTAAACTATGTTAACAAATAGCATACATCAAGGCACTTTATTTTCAATATCCTTTGCTAATATCTCCATAACCAAGGGGTGCTGCAAGAAAAGGTAGAAGGCCAACAAATTACACTTACATTCAAGCCATCTTTTTTTCCAAAATGAGCTCAAATTCACCAAAGACATTACCAAAAGAAAAACTTGAAACTTGAAAATCTCATAGACAAATCTATATCAAATATGGCATAATATTTAAAATAACACTATATTTGAAACCATATCTAATACTCAGCAAAGCATGCAAGTCCTACCACTGATAATAAATAAATAGTGTAACCAACAGTGAAATGTTTTTCAACTGTTAACTTTAATATGCATATTTCTTGAACCTTAGCAGCCATTAGAAGTTGATCGCACCCCCAAAGGACAAAAATAGGTATGCTTCTCATCATTGTAACAAGCATAAAAATTTTTATTACAATTTATCCAACAATATTGAAGTACTTTCAATTAATTAGAATTTGTAAACAAATTCAGCAATAAAAAAATGCTATGATAGAGAAATGAGATGGCCATAAGATATGCTGCAGCAGTTTAGGGATTTTTTGCATGGTGGGTGGGAGTCTGAGGAAAGGGTAAATGGAAAAGCAGAATAAAGAGATGCTATAGTAAATTAGGAAATGCAGTCAAACAAAGATAAAACTTGGATGGATAAAATTAAAGAAAATCAGTTCATAGCTATTGCATAACGTTGTTAAGTGGGACGAAAAGACAATACCACAGAAATACTTAAAAAATTTTAAAACGTGCAAGTTCATTATTTATCTAAAGGAAGACGGGAAGGTTTGATAGCATTTTGCATATAAATTCTTCTAAACTTCTAAACGAGAAAAATTAGATATGATTGATTGGAAGAAGGTGCAGAGGAGATGAGGACCATATATACATAAGGCCATAAAAATGCAAAACATCTTTTTTTAAGATGATAGCAGGCCAAATAGAAACTATCAAAAGCCTGGAAGGGATCATACAATAGGTCAATGTTCCAGTTCTCCATCATTGTTTCCCCATGATCGCATCACAAATCCTGAATTTTTTTACCAAATTTGTTGTGACAGGAAAATTTGCTTTTAGATATCTAAGTTGATGTGACCATAAAATTTGTTATGTGAAATTGAATGAAACAAGAGGTGACTTGATCTAAATCAAACTTTAATAGCATGCTCACCACAGGTTAATGAAATCCACTCCACAATGTTAATGATGCTATGATAAGTATTTAGCCAAACAAAGTCATTTTTGATACAAAAGAGAAAATTTAAGAGAAATCAAATGTCAAACAAGACAGGACATCATCATCCGGAATTGGATACCTGTTTCATTACAACGGGGCAAAAAAAGAGGTGAAAACAAGTTTAGGGTCACTGTTTACCATTCTAAAACTTTCACAAATGTGAGCTCAAAAAGAGTGATAAGAGAATACAAAACCCAATATGTGAGCCATTGCTGATCATCTACATGAGATTTACTTTCTATTGCCTTTACTGAAGCATACCTGGTAAAAAATAATAAAAGTTTGCAGTTTATCAATTCAAGAAAAAACTACCGGAAAAGATAAGAAATCAATTAGTGTTAAAAACTTAAAATTATATAAGACACTTACAAAGGGTAAGCAAGTGTTACCAAAGGCCTGCACGTCAACAGGAAGAATTTTAAGTTAGGATCAAGAAATTAAAATTGAGTAATTAAAATATACAGTGAAAGCGCATAACACTAAAACTTTTCTTTTTCATTGTTTAGGTGGATTGGACGAGGAAGTGGCTCTTTTCATGAAGAACAATATATATATATATATATATAGGTGAAGAACATAGGGCTGTGAATAACTCAGTGAATCAAGCAACTAATGGGCCCACCGAAATAAATTCATAGAGTAAATTGATGATGGTTCAAGTGAATGCCATGTTATTAATCAAGCAGGTCTATTCACTTGATATAAATCATGCAAAAGGAAGAAATCTTAATGGATGGCAGGGATCTCTAAGAAATGTGGTGATTGGTAATGAACCTGCTAGGTGTTTAGTCTTAAGAGTTATTAGAATTATTTTATTATCATATTAATCTTATATTTATTTGGAATTTATACTACTGATTAGTGTAATGTATCCTCATAATGCAGGATATTCTCTGTTCTTTCGTTATTGCTCTATTCTCTTACTTTTATATATGCATATGTGACTATGTGTACTAGAATTGAAAATATTTAGATAATTAGTGTTTTATTTTTTCTATCATAATATCAAGGCCACCTCTTTAAGCCTTCATCTTTGTCTTTGTGTGAAAATCCCATGGAGGATAAAAAATCTCATAAGAATCCTATGAAGACCTTGCAAGGATCCAATGAAGATATCGTGAGGATCTTATCTCTTGTGACGATTTCATCACCTATGATCTTGACAAAAGTTAGCCCACATCAATTTCTTAGTCATTTTTTATTGTCTAGAGACTCTCATTATACTGTCGATTGACTCATATCGACAATTTTGAAAAGTTGTTGAACAGGTCTTAGCTTGGTCTCTCAATTCCTCTTGCACTACACAAATTTTCCATGATTCTTGTTGTAGCATCATGAGCTTGTGGGAGGGCATTAGAGTAATTAGAATTATTTTGTTACCACATTAATATTATCATATATGCTTAATATTTATTAGAATTGGTTATAGATGATATTCTCCCTTAATGTACCATTCTTGTTGCTGTATTCTCTTGCATTTATTAGGCATATTTGTATTAGCATTGAGATTATTCAAATAAAGATATAATATTCTATCTTTCTCTCATTTAACAGAAGTGACCTCAAATGTTATACATAGAAAGGCAGATAGATATTGGTTGAGGGCTTTACATAGTGTTTTAGATCTGCTCCTTTATTACATTTTTCCATAATTCTTGCATTTTTCATTAGCAGATTTCCTAATGATTTTTACTGAGTTGAAACCACTGTTTTTGTGAAGAGAGTCGAGTATTTGGTTTGGGAAGAAAAATTTCCGTTGCTCCATTGATTTGTACACTTGTTTAACTTTTAGTTAGTATATCAATTCATCTTTCATTCCCCAGATTAAGCTTGCAAATGAACGCTTATGCCAAGAACTTCAGATGTTACACAATACTACAGTCTATGGAGTTGAAGAGGTATCCACTTCAATAGATGTAATAAATGATGAAGCCATTGAACCAAGATAGAACTTAAGTTTTACATGGGCCATATTTTTCTTCTAAAAACAAAAATCTTCTCCAAATCACTAACCCTCTCTTACAGTGATTTAATGGTGCAAAGTCTAACCCCCTAGCCTTTCTCTTTGAAATGGTAACTACTCCAATAATTGACAAGCAGATAAATGAAATCAAATAAACTCATTTTAATCTTACATCACTCACCCTCTCTTATAGTGATTTCATGGTGTAAAACATAATCAGCTAGCTTTTCTACTTTTCAGATGGAAAATACTATTCCAAAAATCGACAGGTGGGTATATGTAACTTAATAACACATTTGAATCTTTGCAATGAACTTGAAACCTCCACACCCTCATTCTCACGTGTCATGTCAACAACTACATAGGTTATTTCCATAATAGTCATTGCATTGGTGTCTTTGTAAAAGCAAATCACTACTGTTAAGTTGAGCGGACTAATTTTTGAACTTATGAAGAAAATACTTTACACAGACTTATTTGTTCGTCAATCCTAGGTTTTCCCAAATTTAAGGGTTATTTCATCAAGGGTGTTAAAGTGATTTTACTATACTTTAAACAACACTAGTTGGTTATTTATAAATGGAGGGATGATGTCTTTATGTTGTATCAAAGGAAATATAATTGTAATTCTCTATAATTAAACTATAGCAAAATTTATAGTAGTGACAACAAGATGTAACCATGAATTGTGTTAAACTATATAAAAATCTTGCATGTTTTTGCATGTTTATCTTTCTTTTTAGGTTATCTTTATGTCACTCTTTGTGTTTGAATTATGTATTGTATGTTTCCCAATACCCATAATGCTGAACTCATGACTAGAATTCAAATCTAACAAGGAATAAAGTAAATATTGGCACAATTTTTGTGCTTGAAATGTTCTCTTCTCAATTATGTACACATCAATTATGTTTCAATGGACTCTTTACAAAAATAACTAGTTCATCTTAATTTTTGGTATTAGAGTAGCAATTAACTTCAATCTAATGAAGAATTAAATAACAAGTATGATATCAAGATGCCTGATGCCTCAAAAGAGCCCAAGGCAGGCACAAAGGACCAACATGCAAGGGATATAAGTGTAATAGTGACTTGTAGAAGCACTTTTGAGCATTCAAAGATGCATGAGATTGGATGAAGCAGAAAAGGGATGAGACTGATGAAAAAGCACCCTTCGAGATCCAACTATTTTGATGGGTGAAGTCTTAAGAAAACTCGTTGAAACCATCACAAGGTGTTTTTCTTAAGATTGAGTTTTCTTACTATATACTTCAAATCCCAAAAAAAAAAAAAGAAACACTTGTTGATTTTGGGATCTCGAAGGGTGCTTTTTCAAGAGAAACACTTGAATCACATCTTATTGGATTTATTCACCCAATAGAAAATGGAGATATGAATGTTGATAAAGAGGATCAAACTTCATTGCTCTAGTATTTATTGCATCCCTATAAAAGTACTTTTTGACATCATTTTTACATTAAAGATCCTATTAGCTAAGAGAAGGTCAAGTATTCTCTTCTATTTAGCATGAGATCCTAAGCTTGATGTTATGAGATGCTTATCAGGCTTAGGTATTGGTGGTCAGGGTAAATTTATTTAGAGTGGGTAAAAATCTAATAATGGTAGAAGCAATTCTCATATGAAGATACATGGAAACAATTTATTTTTATTGCATGAGACACATCAAGATATATTATTCAGCCCCTCCATGGAATAAGAAATATTGTTGAAATATCAAACATCTTTGAATATAAAAAAAAACTTCGATCAAGTCGGTAGTCACCCAACATTATTTTCTTGGTGTCCAATAAAGCAATCCAAATTTATAAAATAGCGTATACATATAACGAACGGGAAGCGAAAAGGGCTTTTCAAGACTGTAAGTGCATGAATTTCTAAAAGGAGTTAGAGGACTCTAATCTTTAAACAGATACCAACGAAACGCAAAAATCAAGGCATTGCTTCCTGTATGACTCAACCAATTTTGCAAGAAAACCCTAGAGAAATCCAATAACCGACTAATGGACAAAATATCCCAAACTTATAAAAGACAATTAAGAAACAACTAAAAGTAGGATTTGAAAGGCTTAAGCTTCAGAAATGGAGAACGAAACAAAATCCTAAAAGAACTTTCCAGACAAATATCTCTCAAAATCACAGAACATAAACTATAATAAAATTGCAAAATCTAGCTGCTAAATAGTCATGCATTTCTACGGAAAGAAACTAAACTGTCTGTGTTCAACTATGATTAACTAGAAATGCAACCACAAACAGGCGATAACAGCAAATCGAATATGTACAGCAGAAAAACTTTTAGGCTTTGCATACCCCGCAAGAACGTCGAAATTCTTCAGCAACACCTTGAAAAAGGATCCCGAACTCATTATAATCTGAGCTCTAATCTTAATCGATGGAGTTTGACTCTGATTCTCGAGAGCGAGAGAGAGCGATGGGAGGAGAGGAACAGAGACAGAGAGAGAGAAAGGTTGCGTAGGTAGTGCAGAGGCTTAGAGATGGAGTTGTTTCGAGAGGAAACAAAAAAAATTCGGTTCAGGATATGTTTTAAAATTATTAAATTATTTAAAAAATAATAATAATTTCAGATTATTTTGACATAATTTTTCTTCTTATTTTACAAAACTCCGCAAAAAATATAACATATCATCATTTAATTATATAAATTAATAAAAATAAACTATAACTTTATTTTAATTAGATTACTTTAAAAAAAATATTTTTTAAGTATAACGGTATATTTAATGTGATGAGAGCAATACCCTAACTCTGATTTGCTTTTTTAACTAATATTAGAGTATTTGTACATATCCGTTGGAACCTTATTGAGTTGGTTTATTTCTGGTGACCAGCTTTATCTTTTGGGTTGAAGTGATATTATCACTTTGGCTTTCCTCTTTTATTTATTTATTTATTTATTTTTTGTGAAAAAAATTGTATTTCAAGTCAAAATTAGGTTGACGGGTCAACTGACATATTTAATAAATGAGTTAAAATTTTGGTCTCAAACTTAATCAAATTATTAAACTTGTGAATCCGAATTCCAATTTTTTGGATCGGAGTCTGCTGGGATTGGCATTATTTTTGACACCCTAATTCAAAGAAAGAAATTGACTCGAGCAGAGTCATGACTCATCAACAACAGCAACAACATCAAGCCTTTATCCCACTACGTGAGGTCGGCTACACGAATCATTTTTCTCCATTGTGTCCTATTAAAGGTCAAATTCTCGTTTAAATCTAATAAAGAAAGGTCATTTCTAATATTTTCTAACCAAATCTTTTTAGGTCTGCTTCTACCTTTCTTAGCATAAGTTAAATCTAATACCTCTACTCTCCTAATCGGGTCATTGGAAGGCCGCTGTTTTATGTGACCAAACCATCTAAAGCGACTCTCTCTAATTCTATTTTCTACTGGAGCTACTCCAACCTTTTCACATGCTCATTTCGTATCCTATCTCTAATGGTAAAGCCATTCATCCACCTGAGCATCCTCATCTCTGCCACACTTAACTTAGTATTATGCTTCTCTTTTAATGACCATCATTCAGCACCATAAAACATTACAGACTCACTATCATCTTATAGTATTTTCTTAGAGTCATGACTCATGAGTAAAAAAAAAGTAGAGTTATGAGTACTCAGCCTGTGAACAGTACAATATTAGCATTTTACTCCAAAAATAGTAAGAATCAGAGAGAAATAATTATCAGCAGAAACATTGTGGTGTCTTAATTTTTTTTTTTAATAAAAAAGAAGGTATCATCACCTAACGTAGAGCTGGCGGTGATTATAGTTCCCAGAAGATGAAAAAAAATAGCACTTTCCAACCAAATTGTTTAATCATAACCTTTTTAAACTAATATAAACATATGGGTTATTTGGTTGATAAAAAAAGATAGCATAAAATATATAATATAATTGAAATTATTTCGATGAGTCTAAAGGAAATGTAATTTTTTTATGTTTAAAATAAAGTAAAATAAATCTGATGTAAAAGTTTAAATATAATGATGATCAATGCATGGCTTGGGAGTGGTGGCTGGGAACCACACTCACTGGAGGTAGAGGCAATAAGTGGTAGTGTGCAACGGTGGTAGTTGGCAGCATTGGATGGTGACGACTGACAATGATTATGGCTAGAGAGGGTTGATGAGGGTCGACGATGGACAATAAGGCTTGGTGGAGGCACGCAATCAACAAGTAGTTGCAATTGGTGGCGGCCTTTGGGCACTCACAACTGGCAGTGGCAATAGTGGGTGTTGGCGGCCACCACCACCTAGGAAACTAGCAATTGGAGCCTTGGAAGTGCATGGCGATGGCAAGTTGGCAACGGCGGCTGACAATGATAATAAAAAATTTATAATGCATATAGAAATCCCCTAATCTAACAAATTTCAAATATATCAAAATTACGCCAGACGGTGCATTTCGCATTTAAAATGTACTAAAATTTTACTACTCGTTTCTCTTACTTCAAATCAAACATCAATATTTTAAAAATTCTTATATATGAAATAGTTTACATCCACTTTACTTCAAAACAAATAACCATATATGTTTTAAGACAAGCAGTACAACTATAAGACTAAAAAATAGTACTGAATGAAAACAATAAGATTTTTTTATAAATTTCTAGAGTTTATTGCATTAGATGAGCAAAATATGTGGCACTAGCTAGTAGTTGATCCCATTGTAGCCTCATAATGACAAAATATATTATGTATGCTATACATGATATATAAGTAATCATGAATATGAATCCTACAAAGTGATTAACCAACTAAACAATATAGAATATGAAGGTTAAAATATGGGATAACATCATATTATTTATCATGTGCATGACATATTACTAATCTTTATGTAATATTTTATAAAGAGTATCTTCAACTTTATAAGGTGAGTTCTTACTTAAATTTGCTGGGATGTTATTATCTGAGTTTTAGTATTATTGTATCAATTGGCGTCGGGCTCTTACATGCTTATACAGAGACCCAAATGACTATCCAACCCTATTGATGATGTCATATATGCGACAACCAACTTTACAACTCAAAATTAATCACCCACATTTGGCTCGAACATAGCTCTATTTGTCTAAAATATGTAGATTGAAGGGGAGTGGTTGAATGTCCAACGTGTTGATGTTAGGGGTGTAAATTCGGATCAACCCGTCGGGTTCGGGTCGAACCCGATCCGACCCGGATCTAAACGGGTCAACCTGAACCCGACCCGTTTTTGCAAACGGGTCGGACATTTCAACCCGGACCCGACCTGGCCGGGTTGCCGGGTTGACGGGTTGACCCGACACGACCCGCGACCCGGCAGTGGCGACTGGGCGAGCTGGCGAGGGTTCGGGTCGTTCGGCAGCGCAGGTTCGGCCGTGACTCGCGAGGGTTCGGCCGAGACTCGCGATGGTTCGGCCCTCGGCAGCGTGCGGGGAAGGCGGGGCACGAGGCATCGCTCGGGAAGGCGGCCTGGCAGGGCACGCGGGGCAA